AAGCATGCTTTAATTAACACGTTGTCAATCATCAGCACTGCAGCCTAGTAACAAACTCAGGGTTTGCTTAGTATGCAAATACTTCTGAAGTGTTGGGGTCAATGTTTGCTGCTCTACATGTGTCCATTTCTTATCAAATCAGTCTACTGGTCAATGAGCCTACAAAATGAGTCTCAAACTCAGGCTTCATTTCCTTATATAATCATATTACTACCTAGACTTTCTACATGAGTCTGTTACATGTCCTACATTAAAACTTTCATTCACAGTCATTCACAATCATAAAATAATAAGAACTTTGTTTAGGAAGCGTCTCTTACTGCCCCATCAAGTTATTGTCCCCCTCCAGCCTCTCTCGATCTCCAGATCTCTCCCTCTATCAAACTGTCACACACTTCAACCTCATATTTTCTCCTCTATTATCTCCTCCCTCCTCCCTGTATCCTCACCCAAATGCACCACATTCTCTCTCTCAGTATATCCCACTCTGCCTCTCTGTCACCTCTCTGCTACCCTTTTTACCTCCCATTTTGCTTTCCTGGCTCTATCATCTTTTCCCTCTCTCTTCTCTCTCAAGCTTTTTTGTCATCTTCTTTTTCTTTCTGTTGTTCTGTTCTCCCTCCCTATCTCTGCCTTTCTCTCTCTTTGCTCCCTCTGTCTTCATTCCCCAGGGGGTATTATCTCAGTCGGAGGCAAATCTGCCCAATTATAAACCTCATCTCCTCTCTCTCTCTCTCTCTTACACACTCACACACAAACATACTGGGTGCTCCTGCATCCAACGCTCCCCTCTACACACACATATACACATCTCCGCTCAGTCTCACACATACACAGAAGCATAGGCACAAATACACTCACACAAGCACAAAAAACCACCTCCCTATTTTGCTCTTCTTCACTGTCTATTTCATTGCCTCCCAACACACACACACGCTCACACACCACCCTTCTCCTCCTCTCTCTGTCACACCTTAAAAAGCCAATTATACACGCTTCCTCCCTTCTCCTCTTCTCTCCTCCTCTCCCTCTCCCTTCTTTCTTGCCATCGCCACACTGATCTGGAGTGAACCACAACTAAAAGAAGGGAGAAAGAGGAGAGGGGAGGATAGAAGTGGAGCCCAAAATAGAGGATAGGTGAGAAGGTAAAAATGGGAACAAGAAGGAAGGAGTGGAGATGATGAAGCTGAGTAGATTGGAAAGTGGATGGTAGTAGCAGAGGAAAAGGAGGGACAAGAGGGTGAGAACAAGGGCAACAGAGTAAGAAGAGAGGAGAAGATAAGATAGGATAGGATAAGATAGGATAAGATAGGATAGGAGAGGAAGCGTTAATTGCCCAGCCAGTATTAGTGCTGGGTTGACAGTTTCTTGTTTAGAGGAGAGCTGATTGGACGATAATGATGCTGACTACTGAACTGCCGCACTGCTGACCCAATGGAAACAGAGGGAGAGGAAGGGGTGATAGTGGTGGTGGTTTTGGGGAGGCAGGGGGCTGGGTAGACAGAATGAGACACACAATGATGAGTGAGAGACAGAAATAGAAAGGGAAATGAACATGGTCCTAAATAGAAATTTGAGAAAGGAAGTATTATTGTGTAGCATTTTCATTGCTTCTGAGAGTTACAATTACAGCGTTGAACTGTGGGTCCTGAAACATTTGCATACACACACACACGCACAGCACACACACGACAAGCACGCACACACGCACACGAGCACACACTAAGGCAGCAGGTGTTTGTAAATGTTGTTTCCTGCAGAAATCTTTAATTATTTTGTTCAATTCGCTAATTTGCTTAGATTTAACTGATCCATATGTGCATGAGGCTTTGTTGCCCTTACTATTCCTTCCTTCTAATTAAAGTCCTAATCCCAAACTGGCTGCATGTTTGCTGAAAAATAGCTTAAAATGACTAACTTCTGAAGAAATGTCCTCAACTCCGAGAAACACTTTCCCCTCTGATCCCACTGGATCACTTGCGATCGTCAAGTAAATTCATAATATCATTGAGTTTCATAAAGGCTGAAGACAAAATCATTGCCCCTGCCTCATGCACACACAAGCACAGCCGAATGGTTGTTGACTATCACCTAAAATAAACAAGAATGAATTATTAACTAGTAATGCAGGACAGAAGCTGGGGGAAAACAAGATTGGCCTACAGAGTAACTTGACATACATAAACTATAATTGCTAGCAGGATATGAATAGCGCTCTGATTTCAGGTGATCCTTATATGTAGTCATTTTATTGTGTCTATGTTCGGGGGGTGACGCTGCTCTAGGACTCACTGTAACCCCTCATTTATAGAAAAGTATTGTAATAGTGTTGCACACAAACTAGTACTTATAACAAGAAATGTACCTTTTTTTTTCCCAATATAGCTCTCTTCATTGTTAATGAATATATTGTTAAAAACTTGTCTCTTCTTACTATGTCAGGTCTGTCTTCTTGGCAGGTTTCAATTTCTTTCATAGTACCTTTTTCCTTTAGTGTCCTTAATGGGTGCATCTCACTGAGGTTCGTGCCCACAAAATACCATAGTGACTCACAGAAGGTATTAATTTCCTACGACAGATAGGCGAAAGTCGTACCGCCTTGCTGGATCAGCCTCACTTATGTAGTTTTTTTGGGTTTGTCATTGACAATCACAATTTACTATATATTGAACGGGTTAGTCGTACAGGATAAGTGAGGGGAAGGTGAGAAGAGGTAGGACAACTTAGGGTTTCTTACAGGTCATTCATACTGGTTTTTTATTACGGTGCATTAATCTCACTCACCAATAAAGTAGGACTGAAAGAACAAAGCAGAATGTAGTGTTTACATTCTACTACCATAGAAGGAGACTAATAGCAGTTGGGAGGGCTTGCGAGAGAGTTAGTGGGATATGATAGGAGGATAAAAGGCCGTCAAGAGAGATACGTGAACCATGTGCTGTGCTACACGAAGTGGTCAGCCACTGTAGGTTAAGATCATGGATATGAATCAAACATTTTGTCTGACATAGCGTCTCATCACGACGCCTTTCAATCTCACAACTTCGAAGAAAATGACTCAGCGCCTTGATCTTGACATCTACTAACGCCAGGTTCGGTCCGCGCAGTCAGGCGCAGATACAATCTAATCTGATAGGAGGAAAGAGTGCAACAGAGGGAGAGTCAGTTGTGTTATATTCGACTGGTTGTATACCGTCGTATCGGGCAGAGGAAAGATACTCGCGTTGCTCATTGAAATTTCAGCCCACGTATAAGTTTCCCGAGTACGACCCTGTGTTCATTAACCTGAGACGCTGTTCCAGTGAAGAACGTGTTAAAGATTCAATTTAATTTATCTTGTTCCCTAACCTATACGAATTAGATGCTGTATATTACAGACTAGCTAGTGATGTGGGTCTTCTGACTTGGAGCCAAACATAATCAACCGTTCAGAGACAAAAATGCTTTTCAGGTTCCGAGGATTCCATTGTTATATGAATGACCTGTACAGTAACTTGCAGACATTCAGCTCAATCCGAGAAACTCGCATCGTGCAAAAACTTGTAAGGCTTTAATTCCAAAAATCTGGTCAAGACCTCTCTTCCATGAGATTTATGTCATAGTGCGGTATTTTATTTACAAAAATATATAACTCTAGTTATGCTAAGCAAGAAAGTGTGCTTCCCAAAAATTGTGATGTAAGTATGGATACTTTTTGAGTTATTTGAATTGTGAAGCAGCTCGCTGTTATTTTAACTAATTATCAGCCAGTGGTGCTCCAGAGTCATTTAGCAGCTTCGCGCTCCATAACTTAGAAATCGTTATGTGCGATCTAAACGCGCTCAGAGACCATGGTTTGCGTGTGTACAGTCAGCCTTCTGAAATGCCTGTGCCGGTGAGCCCATACTACGTTGCAACCCTCTTTGACATCAGTTTTCCAAGACGCAGTCCAGATAGTCGATAGCTTCTTTACTCTCGTTTTGGAAGCTGTACAGGGTATCCCAAATGGCACACAGAGGGTATACCAACACAATCAACTTCACCACAGGTGCAAGACGAAACGAGACAAGAGAAAGGAGTATATTTCACTGGATTAATCATCGATACATTTTGTCATACAAAATGGTATATTTTGTCCTGAAGAAATCACGGTTTACAGTTAGCAGGCTCGAGTTTATGGGCACATTAATGGCATGTACTATGGAGTATTCAGTGAAGCGTTGACGTTATTAGTGCGCTGCATATGGGACTGTCAATGTTGTTACTAAAAGATCAAGAAGATTGATAGAATGTTTTTTTTGTTATTACAGGTCAGTTGATGGGTTGTTTCGTGGACGGCTGGCGGATGATATTTCGTAGA